AGGCATTTTGTTAACTAGAGGTCCTAAACATCTCAGATCTGGTTTGCTGTGGAATGAGTAGTCTCAGCCTCCAAGGGCCCAGAGAATGGGGCAGCCAGAAGTTATGTGAAAGCTAGACAGGCAGACTTACAGTATGAGCTGTGGTGGAGTAGTGGTTAGAATGCAGTACTGCAGGCTACTTCTGTTTATTGCTAGCTGTCTGCAATTTGGCAGTTTGAATCTCACCAGGCTCAAGGTTGACTCAGCCTTCCATCCTTCCAAGGTGGGTAAAATGAGGACCCAGATTGTTGGGGACAATATACTGACTTTGTAAACCACTTAGAGAGGGCAGTATAAAGCAGTATATAAGTCTAAGTGCTATTGCTATTCAGTTATTCCTGTCTTTTAATAGTCCCAAACAGGTCTGAAATAATATTAAAGGCAACTCACTGAATCCTCCATTGTGAACACTCAGTCTATCTATCTATCCCCAATTCAAGGTTGAGACACTGATGGTTGGCTCTTAACTCAGGCCTCATCACAGAGCACAACTCACCATCAGTATATTTAGTCTTCCTCTAAATTTACTAACTATATATTATTTGGGAGCAGGATAATATCATTTTTTATTCCCTGGCATGCAAGACTCTCAATCTTCAATCTCAAACTACTGCTACCTATCACACCTCAACAAATATACTTCCTACTTGTCAGATAAACATGCAGACTATACTTATGTGTTTGGAAATGGAAAAGTACAGACTTCAGCCTGCCTGTTCTGTGATTGCAAAATCAATCTTTTTGTAGCCCAGATTTCTGCAAAATACCACTATTCAGTGTCAAATACTGAGCTATTCTACCTGAACGAATGTCAGCAAGGAGGTCTTTATACCTCTTTCTTTCCACAATTCCCTTCAAAGGCTCAGAAATCTGCTAATCAACTACACTAGCTCTTTCCTCCAATTTGTGAATTCTTGAAATAGGAAGCACACATTTCTGGGTCTCAGAGAGACTTACAATTTGATTTGAATGTGAACATGTCACAAATGTTTAACTACCTTTGATTTTTTAAAAAAATAAATTTTATTGATTTTACAATTAAAACAAACCAACAACACATACATAAATGAAAGCGAGAAAAAGAAGAAAGGGAGAAGAAAATAGAAAGAAAAAAAATAGCTACCTTTGATTTTTAATGGAAAGCTTGAACATAGAATAATGCCTTACTCAAAAACTTATAAATCATTTTTCATGATTTTTGGATTATGTATCGAGATGAGCTATTAATTTACCTTGAGGATCCTGTTTTTTCCTACTTGTCAAATCCAACTGTTTTTCAATACCTTCATTACTGCAGTCTCAATCTAAACTTTTTCTAAAGTTCTAAAGTTTTTGTTTTCATAAATTTGAATTAGGAATACTGTATTCTGCAAAAGGAATTGAGATGGATCCATTAAAGGTAGAACTCATTCTGTCTTTGAATTCTCTACTGTATCATCAGAGATACATAGCATTTTCTGGGTTTTGCCAAATGTTACACTAGATGTATGTCTAATTTTGTTTAACTAGCCATACTATTGACCTATTTTATTAAGAAAGTGAGATTCTTATGGCTAGGAACTCTTTATTCATGTCATACAATGGTTTGCTTCTGGGAGATTCAGATTTATCTATCCCTTAGCTCTTTTAATTTTGCTTTGAGAGCTGTACTTTTATTATACACTCCAGAGTTTGTGGGCAACATCTTTCTCTGCATTTTCTTTTCTAGGCAATTCCTGCCAAATGAAAGAAACAATGTTTTTTAACCAAAACTTTTCCCTGTATAAAAGCTTTTTGGCATGGCTTATTGAAGGAGAGCTCCAAACTGATCACAGGAATTTGGAATACCTATAGAGTAGCTCATGCAGTGCTTTTTTTCAAATGTCTTACTTTCTAGCTACAAAGCAAGCAGGTTGATGCTGTCTTGTGTAAGCCAGCATGTTTTTACCCTTCAACCCTCTTTCATTCTGCACCTGGAGAAGTTAGACATTCTTCCTCTGGCACAGGCTTATCTAATGAGACTCTTAGACCAATTTGAAAGTCTTTTCCTAACTAACTGAATCTGTACTTTGTAACAGCAGGACGTACATGTGTGGACTGAGACACAAAACTTCCATGGGGACCAACCATCTCCTCTACTCTTGCCATGAATGCCTACTTACCTACCCATTCTTCAGAGCTTTTTTTTGTTTTTCTCAGAATGTCAACCTGCTCCTTTACAATCTCATGCTTCCAACAGCAGCTCCTAAAACTCTCTGCTGTAATAATCAGAAGACATTCTGCTTTCCCCATTGCTATTGGCTATCAGGTTTGGCTTTCTACCAGATTTTTCTCTTCCATGAGATCTCTATACAGAGAAGCCAAAATACTTACCATAGGGTTTTGGACCATTTCCTGTAATTGCACCCATCAAGTCTCTTGGCATTTTTCTTGCAATTTCCAGACAATTGAAAATATATTATTTTCTAAAATTACTGTTCCCTCCTGGCTATTCAGGGAATGAGAGAGAAATGTGTTTTGGAATCTCAACACAAGAGAAGTAGTGTGGAATATTTGATTCATTAGAAAGACCACCCAGATGTTGGCCATTCTTGGGAGGTAGCAGACTATGTTCTTGTCCCATATCTTCTATGCTAGTTGGGAAAGAGGTCAAGAAAGAATCAAGATGGTGAGACTGCAACCTGAACTTTTCAGGCCAGTGGAGATAATCATATCAATGTAAATCAGAAGTCTTCCAAGATAACAATACAATGGCCAACATGAGAATAAAAGAAACCTAATAAAGATAGATAGATTTCTATATAGGGCTTGATATCTGTACACAGCAGCTGGCAAAACTTTTATGTAAATGACTTCTTTTTCCTGTCTTCAATAAAAGAACAAATCTTTCCTAGTTTTGTCTGTGAACCTGCTGCTGAATAAGCCAACTCCTGAATAAAGATTAAGCGTATGGAGAGCCAAGACTTACAACTGTGCCTAGTACGATGTAATGAATTGTTCTGATTCTCTTCACTATTTTCTGGATATAGTAGATGTTTTGCAGTACAGAAAATAGCAGGATAAGACAAAGTAAATCACAGGGATAATACAAAGCCAGAATCCTGCAGACAAGTATTGATGTCAGAAGAGTTTGAAATACTCAGTGTCTCAGGCCTACTCTATTATTTTAAACAGGACCCATAGCCAAATTAGGCTTCATATATTATACACTTTTACTGGATTGTCCAATATGTGTTCAACATGCAGATCTTTGTTCAGTAATAATAGCAAAAGTCACTATATTCATCCAATAGGTCAGAATAGAAAGCCTCTCCATGGTGCTTAATATGTTAGTCTCTAATGAAGTTTTTCTATCAAGCTTTATTTTTGGCTAAGTAAAAATAGAGAAAGAAGTCTTGGATTGGGAAGTACACATAATGAATTGTTTAGTTAGTTGGGATCCTACAAATATACACCACACCAACTTCAACTTCATAAAGCAGATTCACATTTTCTGCTTGGCCCACTAATAGTAGAAAGCATTCATTGCTTCCTGAGTGCAGACTTGGCTGAGGTCATCCTCTTCCTCCCTGTCCCAGGCAGCAAATGCATCCCACACAAGCGTATACAGCTTCAGTTCAAAATTGCTCTCTTGCAACCTAACCCCTTAAAACACTTCAGAGCAGATTATCTCCACTGCTTTATTTCACTCTAGTAGCAGCCCCAGTTTCAATTGACTGCAGTGCCTGGCACTTCCCTCCTTCCCGGTGCCTGGTCATGCCCTAGACACTGTGTAGGTGCTTGCTATATTCTCTGCTGATTGGCAGCTGCTGTTTTTAAAACAATCTTGTGATTGATCCAACAGTGGCCTATTAAATCAATGCACTATTCTCAACTTCCAAAGGTCATGCTCATTCAATCTTGACATGTCACTGTGATAATCTTAGTTTTTGCTCAACTTTTGCTCAACTTTTTGCCGTTTGCATTTCCACCCCCTGACCACAGTAAAGAAAGCTAAAATGTCACTATAAGGTAAAAAAAAGAAAAAGAAAGAGTCTCTGCTAGTGTCTTGGGAGAAAGAGCGGGAAGAAGGGAACTAAAGGCACGCATAGGTAAGTGCAAACATGTGGAAAGCAAAGGGATTAATGATTATAAGTTTAATGAGAAGGAAACAATTCCCCCTCCCCCAAAGAAAAGGCAGGTGCTGGTAGATCACCAGTGGGGCTCAGGAAGGCAAAAAATGGAGAGCGGGGGAGCTGTGCCCCCCCCTCCATTTTTTACCCTCTTGGGTCTCAGGAAATCCTCCTGGGTGAAGCAGTAAGACAAGCTAGGGGAATCCCAGTACAGCTGATCTTATGAACAGCTGATTGTCGGGAGGGAAAAAAAAGAAATAACTTAAGGGGCAAGCGCCAGGTGGGTGGGATAAGTGAGCATTGGACAGGCGGGGCAAGTGAGCCTGTGGCAACTGGGCGACCAGTTTGGGTACGTGGCCAGGCTAAACATGGGTTTAGCGACCCATGCCAAATCCTTGCTACCGGTTTGCCTGAACTGGTGCGAACTGGCTGAATAACACCAGATCAGTCCTATATAGGAGCCAGACAATGAGGCTTCCTATAGGGCAGGGGTGTCAAACTCAGGTTGTCACGGTGGTGTCACATGATGTATAGGGACTTTTTTCCCCTTCACCAAACTGGGCATGGGCATAGCCAGCACGTGACGTATCCAGCCCGCAGGCCGGGAGTTTGACAGCCCTGCTATAGGGAAGGACAAGAAACAGGAATAATTGATTAGGTCTTGCAGTAGCTGTATTGCAGATTCAGCATCAGCCCATTCATATTGCCAAACCATTGAATCCTAGACTGTTCTTTCTGAGGTTGGTTTAAGAAATAACCAAGACAATAGGCTTAGGCTATGGTGCAAACCCGTCCTTAGCTAAACTGAATCAAAATGTTCTTTATCCAACATTCACATGATTGCAAGAAAGTCTCAAGCACAGCACCCACCTGCAAGTACTGATACGCTAAATCTTGATGGCAGGATTTAGATTTCAACAATGCTCTGTCGATGGTAGCTGAAGCCTTTTGGCACATTTCTCGGGCATGGCTGAGTGTGAGAGTGGACCAGGACCCTCTTTTGATGTAGTTTGACTCACTGTTGATGGGGATGTTGGTGCAAGTGGTGATCTTGAGGTCATTATTGCTCTTGGACGATTTCAGCATATGTTCACTGATTGTGTTATAAGCATGCATAAAGTATTTAGGCTGGCTGTGATCAGGCTGCCTGCCAAGGGTCATGAGGCCCATAGGGTTACGATAGTTGCAGGTATCACTGTCCAGATTGTCGTCTGAGCTCCACCAGCCTGATATGTTGGATCTCGTCCTGCGTTTAGTCTCTGTGGTTTTTGCACGGTCTTTACTCTTGCTCCTCCGGTTTGGTTTTGAGTCCTCAGTGCCTTTCTTGCCATTCACACTGCCTTTAGAAGCACCTTCCAAGGACTGTGACTTAGCAAAAAGTTTTTGGACTGAATGAACCAAGTGCCGTATTCTCCCGGGGTTTTCATTCCGGTGTTTGGCATCTGAACTTCTCCGGAATTGGAGGGTGCTAAAACCATCCCTGTGGATGGGCAGTTGTTTTTCAAATTGGTCTAGCAGGTTGGCAGGGAGTCTGTTAATTTTGGTGGCTTGGGCATGACTTGGAAAGGGGTTCTCATCAGGAACCTCAAAGTGAGAGTTGTAATGAATACGTGGAAATGTACTGCTATTAGAAATCTGGTTGTTGAGGGGAAGGAGGCAGTCACTGTGGAGAGAGTTGGGCGTTGGGAACCGAGGGTCCATTGAGTAGGAATCTGTGGGACTAAGAAGATAAGGATTCCTATCTTGAGTGGCATAGAGAGAGTCTTGAGGAGAGTCCAGGTTATCAGATAGATGGCGGCTTCGGTTATCTCCTAACCCCTTCATGGCGCTGAGGTATCCTACAGCATTGCTTCTGTAAGATGGCACGGAGGATATATCCACTCTGTTCCTTGTCACTGTAGCTTGACTGGGAGGTTTTTCTACAGCCAAAAAAGATACAGAAAGAGTGATTAAAAGATCAAAAAATATGTTCTCAGGATCTATCTGCAGAAATCTCTAATAAGCACAACTACAAATGAGTGATAGAAAGAATCATTTGAGAAACCAGGAGACCTCAATTCAAATAGGACAATGATTTAAGTTATTGCATTTGATAATCCATTCCCCTCTGAAAATCTCACTAGGGTACCTGCTTCATTTCCTAGGGAACTCAGAAGAATTTCCAACATACGAAGTTGACCAGATTTAGAAAATTCAGAATATTTATTTTTATCACACCTTTTTAATTATGTTTGCAATTGTTCTGATATAATATGAATTTACCTTAATTAACTGGGAAGATGAAAATTTACTGTTTGTATCAATATATATATAAAGCTATGAATATATTTATAAAGCTATAAAGCTAAAGAATGAAATATTCACCTGTTCTACAGAAAAAAAATGTTGTGTAGAAACTTACAAATGGAAAGCAGCTCTGGAATTGGCATGAATTGCCAACAATTAATCTGCTTCATCACTGTTCATTATAAAGAAGTATATTGGTGAAGAGGTGTGAAAAAACTGCATTTTTTTCAGTAATTTGATTTATACCAAATTAAAATTCAAGAATGTAAACTATACGTCAAAACATTTCAGAAGCAGTAGAACACAGCTTCCAAAATCTGTAAATGGGCATCATATGCCACCCAGAGGCTACCATATGAGGATAAATCATGCATTGACAAGATTGCTTGGAGGTGGGAGATACTTCTAATATAATATACCAGATCCCTTACCTGGATTGCCCTGTGACTATGTAAGACAGATGAGAAGGTGGCGGCTAACTATCTGACTGCAAGAACACAAGCGAGAGGTTGGACAAGGAGACCTAAATTCATTGGTAGAGTCCCATTGCAATGAACAAGGACATACATTCAATTTTGCAGCCACTAAGATTGTTGGCTGAGCAGGTACAAAAATAGCCAGGGAAATAACTGAAGCCTGGGAAACAGGCCTCTTGTCAGTCACCAGGAATGCTGATTTACCACCAGCTTATCAGCTTATCAGGAACTTAGGAGTCGAGGACTTGGCAACACAAGGAAACAACAGCCAATGACTTAACAGCTGACCATCAACATCTCAATCAACAACTAAAAAAGACACACACAAACAGGCACCCCATAAATACTATACATATAATAATCCAAAGCACATATTTTGATAGAAACAAGTTCCCTGAAAATGGGGTTCAGCATGACTCTGAAAATTTGGAAGACTAATCATCTGGTCCTGCTGACTGACCCAGACTGAATAAAATATGTAGATTTAATGCAGTCTTTCAAACTGAAATCAGTGGTGATAAAAAAGATTTAGACCAATAATTACATTGTAAGAAAAATAAATATAAATGAGCTGTTTGTTTCTGACACTGTAAACAGATAATGTTTTTTCTAAATTTTGCAGACTTGAACAGTCTTGTATCACAGTTTTAATCATTGGACTATGAAAAGTCTAAACCTTGAGAAGGGTTTTGCTTTTAGAAACATGCAAATAAAGCTGTTTTTAATCTATGTTTGCATTGGCATGCCAATTGCTTTGGGCTGGCTCCTTTTCCATTCCTCATCATCCTACTGTATACCAGCCACTCCAAGGTTTAGAAGCAAACAGCTGTGAGTTCATGTCCAATTCACTACAATTGCAATGATAAGATTGCAATCATAAGATTGTAAGCTTGCATTGATATGATATGAATGACTCCATGGTGTAGGCAGTTGGGTCAACATAGCAATAGGCCATGGTTTCCTCTACAGCAAAGTAATTGGACAAGCAGAAAGGTCAAGAGCAACTCAGGAAAATCAATCATTCTTTGAAGTTCTGAAACATCCATATGGATTTGCTTATGAATATGTATATATAGAAGAGAAATAATACAGTTCTCTGTACACAGTTTCACATTTGTAAGAGTGTTTGCAATTATCCAGGCTAAGATAATAGCCATCAAATCTTCACTGACTGCTTCTATCTGAGTAATTAGCTCCTATTCCAGAGCAAGGAAGTTATTTTATGGAAGTAGGTGCATTGTTGCATTTTTTAAATACCTGCTTTCTTTAGAAAAGTTATGCATTTAGTCATTGTTATTAGAAGTGGCAAATCATTTGCAAAGGATATTAGTCCATGTTGGCTAGCTTACAGAATAATAAGTGTGAGATCCTTGATGTTCCATAAGCTGGGTTGCTTTCTAGTAGACATTTCATTATCAAACTAGGTAACATTATCAGTGCTAGAAAGGAGTAGGGTTTGTGCTCATTTTATATGCAAGTGGCTTGCCCTGTCAGTGACGGTGGGAGTGATCTTGGTGTTTCTTGATTAGTCTGTTGTTTACTGTTAGCTTGTTTGTCTGAGTTGGTGGTTCTTTAACTGGGCTATTGTTTATTTCTTAATTGTTAGTCTAGTGTTAATTTTGGTATTAATCTCTGCTCACCTAGGCATTGATTATTGGTAAGGAGATATTTTGGTCTCTTTGTTTCCTTTTTGGCTTTTTGATTTTCTCTTTTGAATGGTATGTAGTTGTTGTTTATTTCTTTGTCATAAGTTTGAATGACCTGGTGTAAATGAGGCATATGCTTTATGCAGACTTGGATTTTTTTTTTACATTTATTTTAAATTTATTTGATTTGTTAATCACTTACAAGATACAGGTATAAGAATAAACATAGTTTTGAACACTTGAGATAGATACTTATAAGAAAAATAAAAAGAAACAATAGGACAGGGATGGTAGGCACAATTGGTGCCCTTATGCATGGACCTTACAGGCCTCTTAGGAAGGGAGTGAGGTCAATAGTAGACAGTCTAGGATTAAAGTTTTTGGGGTTTGGGGAAGAAACCACAGAGTCAGGTAGAGTATTCCAAACATTGACCACTCTGTTGTTGAAGTCGTATTATGTGCAATCAAGTTTGGTGCGATTTACCTTGAGTTTGTATCTATTGTGTGCTCTTGTATTGTTATGACTGAAGCTGAAGTATTCATTTGCAGGTAGGACATTGCAATGTATGATTTTATATACTATATTTAGATCGGACCGAAGGCTGCGGAGTTCTAGTTTTCTAGGTCTAGAGTTCTGGTGGCATAAGGTATTCTGCAATGATATCAGGAAAAGCTAGTCTCTGCTCAGTAATAAAAGTAGTTCCATCACCCATATTACCGGATAGGGACTTTTTTTCTTCTTCATGAGCCTCCCTGAAATGAATGAGAAGTGATCAAGAGCACAACATGAACTGTATGCATTAATTTCCAAAGGTTTCTAAAGGAAGTGCTTGGAAATGTGACTGCATTTGTTGCTAGTCATCCTTTGCTATCTCCTCTTGTCAGGACAAAAGTTAATGACAAGAGTTAAAAGATGAATTATTTGGTTTTGCCAATAGAATTTTGTGGCTGCTATCAGGCCAAATCATTAGCACAAATTGGCTTCCTTCTCTGCACAGCATAAAACATAGCACACAATCTATATTAGGATTATATAACTTGTATCCTTTTAAGAGAAAGAGCCTTTATTTCAAGTTTTTTTTTTACATGGCAGACTAAGCCACTAGCACTGGCAATGCAGGTAGCAGAGTTCTTCTTTAGATTGAACTAACTTTTTTAAAACTCAGCACTTTTAAGGATGGGCTAGATCTATTCAATGGATTAGCTTTCCCAATTCCTTTTACTTGGGGATTGCACCTGAGAGTATAAATTCAAGAAAAAACAAAAGCGAACAAGAAAGACTGTCTGCACCGTTATCTTCTCCTTGGCTCGCTGAAGTTATAAAATAGCTATTTCTAAAAGTCTCTCTGAGTCAGATATATTTATGATTTTGTTTCTTGCCTGGCAATAGAAGTACAAAAGATGAATTAGAAAACATTGGATAATCTCGCTTGATAATAAATTTGGCTAGAGTTACCTTTAGCAATAAAATATCCTTTATCATCCTTTACAATAGCAATAGATAATAGGTACACTTCCAGGTATTCTTGAACTGCAGGTGCCCTTCTTTTTATCATTATCCATGCTGGGTAGATTATTTATTTAGGGGATTTTGTTATGCCCATCTTTTGATCGAATGAGTAGACTATCTGGTTTTTCCCTTCCTTTTCTTTTATGAAAGCATTTAAATAGATATTGTTAGAGTCACTGTCACTTGGACAATGAATGCACAATAATGTGAGTGTCTCTAGCTTAATCTGCTTTAGAGCAAATTTTCTGTTTTAATTTGATAATTCTTGACAAACCTATGTTTATAGGTAGCAGATATGACTCAGATGTTAGCATCCATTAGGATAGGTACATGGGTAATATCTTCTCTTCATGCATATCCCAGTATTTGTACATGGAAATACTGATGATTTAATTTTGGATATCTCAATAGATATGACCAAGGAAGCCTTCTTCAGTCTTCTGCTGCCCCCATTGCTCAGTTATATCTCTTTAGTTGGGGAGTGTTTACTAGGTACCAAAGCATCATAGAACTGATGCCTGTACTAAGTGCATTACTGTACTACAGATTTATGCCTACCAGGCACAGTTTAAACTACTGACTCTAAATGGCTTAGAGACTGACAATCTGAAGACAATCTGGGACTGTGAATCTGCCCATTTATTGGCATGATAAGTGATGACTTCTTCCCATTGCCAAAACCTCACCTTTCTGGCACACCAGGGAAGATTTTCTTTCATATGGCTTCTATGGAATGTGTAATCTATGAGATATATATTGAGTTTAATTGCATTATATCTTATTACTTTCATTTTAATTGCTATAAGCAACCTCAAGTGTTGGATAGATTTATAGTTGGCTGTAAATGAAACCAATAAAATAAATATGTGACAAAGTTAATATTTTCTTCTTTATAAACCCCTTTCT